TATCTATCTATCATCATCTATCTATCATCTTCTTTCTCTTATCTATCTATCTATCTATCTATCTATCTATCTATCTATCATCTATCTATCTATCTATCTATCTATCTATCTATCTATCATCTATCTATCATCTATCATCATCTATCTATCCCTCTATCTTATCTATATTGTTGACGCTGTTACAGATGTTCCCCATTCCCCCTGCCCTCCCACTTTGCCCCCTCCCCTGCCTTCACCACAGGCTATGCATACCTGCTCTTTGGCTACTCCGTTCACCTTCTTTCATCCTGTCCCCCCCACATACCCTCCCCTCTGACCTCTGTCAGTCTGTTCCAGTATCCGGGCCTCTGGATCTATTTTGTTCATCAGTTTATTTTGTTCATTAGATTCCACATGTGAGTAAGATCATATGGTCCCTGTCTTTCTGTGACTGGCTTATTTCACTCAGCATAATACTCTCCAGGTCCCTCCATGCTGTTGCAAAAAGTAGGATTTCCTATGACCACATGTTTTTAAAGTGAAGATTGGTATGGTCAGTGCACTAAGGGTTCCCATGTGGTTTGGGGACATAAACAAGGAAAACGTGAAGTTTTAGTAACCAGCTTGGTCTTCCAATACTGTTGTTGAAGTATAAGGTGTGTTAATAAAGAACATTTTCCTAACCAATATTTGCATATTGTGTAAAAAAATCATGAGCTTACTATAGTATGTAGTTTAAAGAAGAAATTATTCAGATATTCAGCTGCTCTGGACAATGCACTATGGATGTGCATGCATTTTATCACACCCCATCTCCCCACTTTCCAGATACACTCTGCCTCAGGCGTAGTGTTTTAACCATGAAACGGTGAGGGACTCTGTCTGAAAACTCGTCTATGCACCTTAATACTGTTCCTCCCTAGTAATACTTAAAAATTCACTGACACCATATCTTTGTTATCTTTTTAATGAAAGCATTTTTTTCTTTCTTCTCTCCTTTCATTCTTGTGTCCTTGCTCACATTGCTAGTCCTGTAACCAGGACATACTGACATCACCACCTAGCGGTCTTTTACCATAATACAGTATCTACTTTCAAGAACATTTATTTTATTGGAGCAACCAGGACTTGGTTTTAAATAATGCAGCTCTGCTTTGGCTGTTTGGTGAGGTGTAAGTGTCATTGAATTTGACACAATGAAAGTCGCTTTGCCTTTCTACCTAAAAGAAGACATCACTTTGGAAAATACATTAATTGAGCAGGGCTAGTAGCATTCTCCTAGAATTATCTTAAAGACCAGACTAACTACCATATTTTTTAAGGTTAATTCTATTCAAGTTGGTAAACTGGTTAAATTTATAGACTTAACCAAGCCCATGGACCTAGTATATATAATATATATAACCACCTGCTCCTGCTGTGAGTAAGAAAGAATGTAAAATCCATTGGTCATGTCAAATGCAGCAACCACCTAATATGAACTATCTTATATTTCTCAATGTAACCTTGTAAGGTCAGTTGAATTCTGCCTTTTTACAGATTTAAAAACTGAAACTTAGAAAGATTAAGTGACTGTGTAAGGTCACAGCACTAGATGGCGGCTGAGTCAAGATCCACACCCAGTTCTGTCTGACTGGAATTCGATTCTCTTTTCCTTACATCACATCACTGTTGGACCAGCTCTCGGAATCACAATATCATTCAAGGGTGGTGGTTCTGCCTCCTTACCAAGTTCTACTTCCAGGATGTCCTTGACAGGCTCCAGAATATCCGGCTTGAGAGTAGTGTCTTTCACTGACAGATGAGAATAAAAATCATTATTTGCGTTGGGGAATCCGACTGCCTGCTTGCTGGACGTGTGTGTGCATGGTCACACTTAGACATAAATATTTTGGAGCTGTCTCTGCAGCTTTTATTTATATTCCATAGGCTAGAAACTCAGGTTTCCATGTGAAAAACAAGCTTCTAAAAATGACTGTGCCATCAGGCTGTAGGTGCCAGCAAAACACTAGTTTTGGATAAATCCGTATCTGCCCGGGTGCATTTCCTTCCACGCCAGCCCTGCGCACCCATCGCAGACCCGAGCCCCCCCCACTTCTGCAAGCCTGCTTGTTAGTGCCACATGGCTGAGTGACCCAACACGAAGGAGAGCCCCCTGAGAAAAGGCACAAGTCAGCCAGGCCTTACATTCATGGTTTGTTTCAAAATAAAGTCCAGCCTTTCAATAGTCATTTTTTTCTCAACTTCCTGCTAACTTTCAAACGTGCCTCCATTGTGAAACTTCCCCTAGAAGGTGCCCGGTGCTGGTGCTTATCGCCTCCCCCTCCCCACCCCTGGAGCCTGGCTTTGCCCCCTGCACTGGAGCTGCTCTGGGTAAAGCCACCAGCAGCCTCCTGGCACTGAAGCCCGCTGCGCACAGCTGAGCGCTCTCCTCCGGCCCTGGCGCGCCCTCGGGGCCTCTCCTCCTGGGCTGGGGCTCCTGTTCCTCCCTGCTCGCCTCTCTGCTCCCTTCTCTGTGCCCCCTGCGGCTCTCACTTCTCTTCCCCGCTCTCCCCCTGGGGCCTCCTGCTCTCCTCTCCCTGGGCAGTGCGGCTCACTCTAGGCATGTTCGCTGCGGGAGGGAGAACAGGGTCCTTGGTCCGTTCTTGGTCCTTGGAACGGTCCCTCTCCTACATCATCACGTTCGCTCCCTCTGCCGCCTCCTCCCGCCCTTCCCGGACGCCCACTGAGTGAGCCGGGAGCTCTGCCTTCCCAGGCCCAGCGACCAGCTCGGGCCTCGCCCTTGGAGGCCCTGCATGGCCCAGTCCTTCAGAGGCTTTCGTCACTGCGCCCTGGGAGAGTGCTCCTTCGTCCCCACACCCCTGCTCCATCTCCTTGGGGGCTTCTCCTCGCCCCCTCTCCAAGTGCGGGAATGTTCTCTCCTCTTTCTGTACGCACTCCCCAGGCAACCTCGTTTAGGACTTTTGCTTTACATACTATGTTGGCCACCATCACATTCACATCTCCAGCCCCAACTTCTCCAGAGCTGTTTATCCAAATACCTACTTGTCGTCACGATTTGGATGACTTCAGGCGTGATACACGGTGGGGCAAAAGTAGCTTTACAGTTGTGAGTGTTGTGCTATTTCTGTCGAAGCAACTGCAACCCCCTTTGCCGAGTCTGAGCTCTATGTCTTCCTCAGACCTTGTCCTTTCCGGCCTTTTCTGTCTCATTAAATGGTGCCACCATTGACCAACTTATCCCGGCCAGAAAACGAAAACATTCTTGATGTCTCTCTTTCTCTTATCTTCCTGATAAAATCCGCCATCATGCTCTATTTATGTATCCAAAAGCCATTTCTCACCACCTCTGCTAATTCTATTCAAAGAGCAACCAGAGACATCTCGGAGGGACAGACGAGCCTGGCGCTCTCCCACCGCGCCTCCCACGGGCCCGTCGGCTGCCCCGCCCGGCTGGCCCATCCTGTCCTCCCGCAGCAAATGACAAAAGCCCACCGAGCGGCCCAGCTGCAGCCTCGCTCTCACTTGGGCCCACCCCTTGCCCTCGTCTTCACTGCCAACTTCCAAACCCTTTCAGACCTACTCCTGACTATTTCTCGAGTCCACGCTCTTCCCCCCAACCCCGCCGCGTTCCCGGTCAGGGCGGCCGTCTGCGCTGCCTGCTGCACCCCGGCAGCCTCCCAACTCTTTTTCCCGTCTCCATTCTCGCCCCCAAGTCCACTTTCCACACAGCAGACAGTAACCTTTCTCAAATACAAATCTATTCATGACACTCTTCTGCTTAGGACCCTCCGAGGCTCCCTACTGTTCCTTGGATAACGTCCGTCCTTCCTGAGCAGTGTGACGTCTGCCTTATTTCCAGACACTCGCCCTTACTGACCTTGCCCTCCCTGGACCTCACCGTCCTCTCACCTCCGGGCACTAGCTCTGCTGCTCCCTCTGGAACAGCCTCTTTCCCACCTCCATTGGACTGATTTGTTCTCCCCTCAGTTCTCCCTTTGGACTCTGTATGCCCAGGTTCGGGTGTGGGGGGCCCTCCATGCGCCCCACGTTTTCTCCACTCGCCACATGGTCTTGCGGCAACCTGCTCCTTCCCTGTCTGCCCCACAGAATGAACCCATTCTTACATCCTTAGCGCCAAGCCCTGTGCCCGACACATACCAGATTTTCAACACATATCTGTGTGAGAATGAACAAATAAAAGACGGAATGAGCACCTGAGGAAGACAGTAACGATGACAGACAGGCTTGATTGAAAGAGTGCAACAGATGTTGCAAGGAGTCTTTGGGGAAACAGGAACGCAGATCCTGCCCCTGGGAATTTGATGGGCTGTGTGGTCACACATGAGTAAAAGAGCAATCACGCATCACCCGAGGGGCAAGCGGTGCGAGTGGGTTATTTGCACCCCATCTTCTCGTCCAAGGGACAACCTAATAGAAACTTAAATCGCTGAGACTTGAAGCCTTGAAGAGCGCAGGGCTCATGTAGGCAGGGTGTTGGGCCTGGCTTCAGGGTGCCCATGTGGACTGTATCTCACAACAAAAAGGAGGTAAAACTGATTAATGCATTTCCAAGAGATAAACCAACCATTCTGCAGCTGTTTAACACAAAACATGAACGACCGGCTTGGTTATGCTTTGACACAGGCCATGCTTAGATTAACTACGTGCTACCATTGATTCATACTGACACTTGCAGATCTAGTAGGAATGGCCCGAGGGAAAGGCTGGGCCAAAAAATAGAGATGTCTTGGGACAATAAACCCAAAGGGCCAATAAACATGACAAAATATTCAACTTCATTAGTATTCAAGAAATGTAAATGGATATAAATAAAAGAGACCCACGTGGCAGCAGTAAAAAGCAGTCTGAAGACACCAAGTGTTATTTAGGAGTAATAGAGACCTGTCCATCACCAATGACGGTGTAAACGGGCAGACGATACCTCAGAATAGTGCAGGTGCTTATAACACAAATCACGTTTTATAACATAGACAATATTCTGTTTTATGAATGGATACATACAAATGTAAAAAAGGCATAAAAAGAAAGAAAATAAACATAAAACTAAACTACATCTGGAAGGGAGGGAAGGGAAGAGATGGCGACATGGGCCTCAAGCTGTGCCTGCGATGTTTTGTTTCTTCAAAGAAAATGCAAGATTTTAAGCCGTGGAAAATGCTAACAGTATTAAAGCTGGTGTGCAGGTGTCAGTTATTTCAGTGTGTGGGTTATTAACCCTGTTCTTTTAATTTATTATAAAAACAAACCAGGGATCAATGCATGGAAAACCCAACTTGTGGTAACTTGAACATGAGCCTTCCCTGGAGAACGGAATCCAGGTGATGGGAAAATTGATGTTCAACAATATTCAAAGGTGTACACGACTACCAGTGTATGTCTATCTTTTTCGTTTTCCAAAAAGGAAGAAATTACTAAGCTACAGAAAGATAATTTTAATTGGGTGATTGGGGTCCAAATCTGGGATCTTAGAACCAAAATCTCACTTACCAATGGTCTTCACTTGAACAACAGCTCTAACTGTCCATGAACTTGCATCTTCCGACTGAGTATAATCACAAGCATACAGGCCCTGGTGATAGTGATAAATTTCATCCAGGAGCATTGGGTTGCTCTTTTGTTCAGAGAGTAGTCTTCCATTCTAATCCAAGAGACAAGGAAATCAAATAAAGTTCTTTAACCAGAGAATTGTTATAACTATTAATTGCGCCTTTCAAAAAACTTCACAATTTTGAACCAGGGAAGGGGAAAGTCAGTCTGAGATCAGGACATAACAATCACACCCAGAAGCTATGAAGAAATTTCTGTTCAAAAATTGCATTTGTAAAATTCTTTCATTATGTATTTTAAATACAATTACATTGTGTGTGGAGATCAGGACACCTGATCAGCCCACTAAGATGTATTTTTTTTTTTTAATTTATCTTTATTGAAAGCACTATGGTGTCCCATTCCCCCCCCCCCC